CCCTTATAGTGACATAATTATTTTTGGTGGAATTAGTCATTATCTGAGGAGATAATAAGAATTTTCAAACATATTGAAATGAAAGTTGCATATACTTATACTATTTTCCCATCTTTTCTGACTGCCCTTCTTACTTGCTTTCTTCTCTTGATTAGTTTAGTTAATTTGTGACAACTGTTTGCACATTAGGAAAATCAGTCCTTTGTAATATTATTAAAAATATTGTTCCAGTTTCTCATGCATATTTCAACCTCATTCATTATGCTTTTCCATACAAAAGCTTTAATTTCAATATGGTAATATTTATTTTTCTTTATGGGTTTTTTTTTGTCATATTCTCACAACTGCCTCCCCATAGGTTTTGATGATGGAAAAAAATTCAGAGACAGAAGACCTTATAATAAGGTTGGATCATCAGTAGTGACTCTGGCACAGAATTCCATTGTTTTAACATCCTAATTCCAAACTTTTTTTTTTCTGTATTATGTTATCTTTAAATACAGCCATTATCCCCAAAGTGGGCTGTGAAACTGCCATTGGGTTCCAGATTCTGTTTCAAATTTGGATGAATCAGCTTCAGAGAAAAAAAGAGAGAAATAAGTAGGAAAACAAACAGGAAAAAGAGACAAAGATGGAAGATACTTTGTTTCCCAGCATGATAGAACCTTAGTGGTAGCAATCTTATAACCTACCTTAACCTAGAAGCTATCTGTCCAGCTACTGACTGAAAGACAATATAACTTACCTCCTAATTGCAATCCTAGGATTCTTTTCACTTTGCTCCAGAAAAAATGTCATCCATCATATATCTTCATGATGATGAACATAGGTCAAACATATATTTTGCTTTAGTTGTAATAGCAACCAAGAATCAAATTTGAAATAGATACATTTATTATCATAGCTGAATACCTGTGTCCTATATTTCAAAATAATACATGCTGTATGTTATATTTGGAATTATTCAATAGATTTGCCAACCATAATTCAAATTGAAATGGGCCTTTGGGTAAATCAACACATTTATTGATTATTTAAAAAATCAAACAAGACTTTGTAAAAGACCCATCTTTTTCTGTGGGAATTAATACTGTTCTATTTAGAGTCACCAAAAAGAATACTAGAATTTGATTCAAAACCACAATTTATGATTATATAATGTGTTTTTATTACCTAATCATCTCTGATGGTTATTCCTTTTGTTTGCCTACTTAATGGATTTGAAGTATGAGTGCTAGGTTCAGGCCAATAAGCCTCTTTTATGGTTTACAGCTTTACTATCATTTTCCTTACTTCGGTACATTAAAAAAGAAAAAAAAAATGTGAGCTTATGCGAGTGATCACTCAACTGTGGCTGCAAGTTCTCCATGCTCACCATCTCACTTCCCAGAAAAGGGACTAAATAGAATTGGATTGCCTCTCTTGCTTGTGCTCTCCTCTCTTTCTGTCTCTCGCTCTCTCTCTTTCTCTTCCTCTAATGTATCGAACTAAAAAAGAAAGAGGGTTCTAAGGAAACATCTCTCATATGCATTCTGTGTCCCCCTATAGTTTTTCAGTGACTTCATAGTGGTGATATAAGGCTCTACTTGTATAAACATAATTGGAATAAGTAATAATTTATCTTAGTTTTATATCCTCTTTTATTCTTTTCTATTTCCCTTTAATATGTTTTGGAGGCTATAAAATTTGAGGATGAGTAGCTAGGGGTTAGAGTCAAGTGTACTGCACATGGATGCTTAATAAACCTCCATGCCCTGTCAATGCACTCCTGGCCTGAGATGCTGCCTCCCACACTCTTTCTCTTCTTGTCTACCAGAAAGATAGCATTTGGTGAGTGTGTTGTTCTGAAATTCTGATTCTCAGAGGCATTTCAGAACACTGAAACTAGCCCATACTGGCAATGAGCATTTCCACGGGTACACTTATATGGTAACTTTAAATAAATTATTTTAAAATTTATTTTAAATCCCATGAACAAAGTTGGAAGTTTGCCATTAGTAGAACTCACTGAGCCATCAAGCGAGATTGCACCTTTTTTTTGAGCGGTGGGTGACTCAGTATCCAGAAATAGTAAAAGCAGTTCTTAATAGTATCTATATTACTAAAGAGAGTAACTTAAACTTTTAGTTCTTCCTACTTAATTTGTATTATTTTCAACTTACTTTTACTTGAGTTTCTTACCACAAAAATTCATACAAAAACTTAAAAAACTTAAAAACTTAAAAAAAATTAAGGCTACCTAACACTGATCCAATTATTTTTTTCTTAACAACACAGCTTGTTAGTTATTTTATCTTGGTAGTGTCTTATTACCAAAGGAAATTGCATGAAAAAAAAAAAAAACACTGCTTCTTAAAGCCTACCATGCTGATTTGTATCAGCAATGCATGTGTTCTTTAGGTGTTCTCCACGGCTGGAGAAGAGGATTGCATGGCAGCCCGGGACAAAGCACCATATGGCTAGGACAAGGTGAATGTTGATAAAGGCACATGAGAGATGGAAGGGGAGATGTCACAGCCTGTCAGTCTTTATCCCTAGAGGAAGCTCTGGTGACAGGGGAATGATTGAAATGGCACATTTGGGGTCCCTGGGCATGGAGAAGGGATAAATAATAACTAGCAATTCAATGACATAAACTCAAGGGAAAGATGGAAACAAAGGGAGCTGGGGACTGGGTAGAAGTGGAGCTTTCCTACAGTTGATGAAAGATGCCAGGAAGAGACATTGATGAGAGAGATGATTAAAGGTGGCTTCACAAAGCCTTGAATAGTGACAGATGGGAAGGGTACAATGATTAGTAAGAAAATACAAAGAGAGAAGAGACCTGAAATGAAGTACATTCTTACTGAAGTAGACATATAGGATGACAAAAAAGGGAAAACAAAGGATGAATTTTTTCTGCAACCTGATAAAGGAAATTGGGAGAGATATTGAGATGACCAAGTCCTATCCTTGCATGGAGGAAGCACCCTTGTCCCCAACTCACTTGACCTATCAGAAGTAGCCCAAATCCTTCCCAAAGCCTTTCCAGTAGGGATCCTAGATTTCCAACCAGATATCATGAAACTGGGTCAGCAGAAGCAGACTGTTTTCTGAATCTGAGGACAGATAAATAACAATAACCATTCACTGAGAATTTATAATATGCCAGGTACTGTGAGAGCCCTTTAAACCCATTTTACATCATCACATAGCCCTGCATGTCAAATAAATTGGATTAGTTTTTAAATGTGGAGTGTAGGGCTCAGAGAAGCTAAATAGCTTTCCAAGTCACATAGTCACAGAGTAGCAGAGCAGGGATCCAATTCCCATCTATTTAATTGTGGTTTTCTAGTCGAATCCACTTGTTTACAAAAAGGTTGGACTAGCCACCTTCCCAAGCTGCCTGAGGTCTGCTCCATTCTGGATAAACCCTTTTAAAAGCTACTTCCTTAAATAAACAAAATGAAAATAAAGAATATAATTGGTTCACACATGTCTAGGTTGACCAGTTTACCAGATATTTTCCTCTCATTTTGTCTTTTGAAAAGACTTCAAACTCTGAGAGATGTAGTTATCTTTGCTGATATGATAATACCTTCTAGAATTTTTTTTTTCATCTTATATCTTTGTGTGGACACAGGTAATTCTTCTTACCATACAACCTTGTCCTGGCAATTCTCTTTGATAAATAGTTTGCGGATAACAATCACACTTCCTATAACAGATCCCCAGGTTCTTTTCTGGTTGCATAGATCAGCTCAAACTTCTCAGGCTTCTGCTCTGCTTTGTAATGAAAGTGTTATTTCTCTTAAGAATTATTCCTGTATGAACACATCTTCTACATTTTTTGACACATAGTTGGATTTTAGGAACATGTTCCCTTCTCATTTGGTCTGAAATGAAGTAGTCTCATCATAAATCTACATTCCCTTGAAACCTTCCTCAGAGTTCAGCTTTTTAATCTACTTTGTAATTTATTAGCAGAGTAATAATGATTAGCATGACGAGCTTGTAGTAATAGCTCTGTCCCCTTCCAGTACATAACCTCAAATACCCATTTTTGAGGGTTTTGAAAGGAAATTTCTTAGAGTCTCAACATTATAATTTCACAGTTGTGCAATGCCTTTCATTTAGTTAACACTACAAGAATGTATTGTATGCCTAGGATGTCACTAAACATATAGTACTAGATTTGGGGATTAGATTGGTGAACAGTGTAAACTTTGCTTCTACTCTTACAGAGAATACAATTTGGTATAAGATACCAAAAAAATGACTAGACCATTAGAGTTCAGTGTAAGAAGTTTCCAGAAGGGACTTCTCCTATTCCTGTGAAAGTCCAGAAAAAGAGTCTTCTAAGCCAGAGCAGGAATGGTGACATTCCAGCTCAGGTTGCAGCACACAAAAGTAGCAGAGGTGAAAGCATGAGGTCTTCGTGGAACCGATTAAGGTCAGTGACCCCAGAGACCTTCCCCTGTGTCCTTCTCAGGCTTACTTCTGCCCAAGACAAGTGAGAGCATAGAGCTGGGATGGGAGAAGAATTGTGGGAAGTGGGAGGAGATGGATCCTTGTCGGTGAAGCTGGGGCAGGGAGAATTACTAATGACTGAGCTGGCTTTCCTCTCTGGAATTGGGAGATGGATTTAAAAAGGCCTTCACTCAATGCCTGACACATAGTAATCCTTCCATAGATATTGAATGGATTAATGATTGGATGCATAAATTGATTCACCAAAGAAAATTCATATATGTATGATCCATTTCCATAGCACTACTACTATGATAGTTTGTAAAATGATAAATAGGTTTCTGGGAACAGACTAGAAATGGTTTAATGAGATAGTATGTCTGATTTCTAAACAACCACCCTACTGAAAATTTAGGGTGGAATTTGTTTATAAATAAGAGACTATCACAAACTTAGTAATTGTCTTACATGTATACACCTTATGCCTTAAAAAGTAGTTTCCTATTCTCTTAGGGAAAAATCTGGAGTTTAAAAATAATTTTTGTGTGTGGAGGGGGTACACCATTCCTGGAAGTACTGCAATACTAGGTCCATGTATGGAGTGGATGGAGCAAGCTCCTATTCCATCTCCCTGCTCCAAAAATCCACTGAATACATGTCCTGGGATAGAGAACATATCAGATACTAAACTGATAAGAACAGATACTACACTTGATCTTCACTAAAATGCAGAGAAACAATTAAAGATAATTCCTCACTTCAAGCATAACAGTAGGAACTTGAGAGACATTCAATAAATATTGATTATTCCATTTTAGAGACTAACCCAATAAATTCTTTTATGTAAGGATTAAAATTTAATGAAATATTATGGAGATCATTAACTTCTATTCATATTAAGTTAAAATAAAAAGTGGTTTCAAATCATTATTTTTTTTAATTCACATTTCTTAGTTTTACTAAAGTTCTCAATATACTAGCTAGAAAGCCATGATTCTTTGAATATTGGAAATAACATGAAACTTTAGAAAAAAATTGTTATTCTTTGTAATTTCAACCATATACAGCCGAGCATCTTTTTCTTAAGTTTGCAAAATTACTTTGTGAACTATAAAAACTTTAAACCAAAATGTAAATTTTATCTACTTCTTCGTTTGGAAATTAAAAGCTAGAGTTTGGGGTCAAGAGAACAATAAGAAAAAAATACAAAAGGAAAGGAAAGTTTGCCCTGAGAACAATTAAATGTTCCTTTAATTTCCCTAATGTTATTTATTTATTTATTTTTAAAGATTTTATTTATTTATTTGACAGAGACACAGCAAGAGAGGGAACACAAGCAGGGGGAGTGGGAGAGGGAGAAGCAGGCTTCCCGCGGAGCGGGGAGCCCGATGCCGGGCTCGATCCCAGGACCCTGGGATCATGACCTGAGCCGAAGGCAGACGCTTAATGACTGAACCACCCAGGTGCCCCTAATGTTACTTATTTATATTTTACTTAAATCTTCGGGCTAATAATGAGATGATGTGAATAAAAGATCTAGTTGATCTGGTGGTTACATTTATAGTATCTTAGTTAACAGTATGGGGAATGACAAGGAAATAAGCCTATTGCTTGTTTGATGTTTAATGCAAATTAAATATTTTTGTGTTTTTGTGAATACATCTTATCATCATTCATGTGCCTCATAGGGAGTGGAGGTCAGGCAGTTAATAAGCTCAGGGAAAAATTAATGTCTGTAAACATTACATAGTAAAATTCTAAGAGAAACAAACTCTCTGGTATCTAGACAGGACATGGCTTTATAAAAAAATTAACCCAATAATGTAATTGTTACCAAGGCTATTGCACTGACATCATAAAATAGTAGTAGTAGTAGTAACGAGTAACTTAGAAACCAAAGTTTCAAAACTATTCTTTGAATTTCTATTATTTTCAGAAATCACTTCCGTTTCCTGGATTTTATTATGATAATCTTTTTTTTTCTTTTTTTTTTTTTTAGTAAAGAGATTCTTATAAATAAATTTTAAAAAAGACTATGTTATAGTATGGTAAATTCGCCTCCTCTTCTCCATGACAACAGATAAAGAAGCTGTAACCATGGCAACAGTAAGGGCCAGGGAGATTAGGGCCAGACTGGAGATTGGGCCTCCAAGAGCAAAGAAAAAAAGTCCTGATTGATTCCTTATTGAGATGTTATGTGAAGAGGAGTTACTGTTGAGAGAAAGCATTGAGGATTAGTAAGAACAAAATTAATTCCCTGTATAAAGAAGTCATCCCTTTGTTAAAAATGTGTCTGTCCCTTTTCATATGAGGACTGTTTAAACTGAGGTAAAAGAGTCCATGATTAATTCTATTCTGAGCTTTATCTGTGTCATCTGCGTCTAGACTAGCTCTGTGAGAAGGCACTCTTGGAAGCCTGAGGAGAAAAGCATCCGTGCACAGACTCCCATCGCTCTCCCTCTCGGCAGCCCCTGAATAGGTGGGGAAACCACCTCATTTTTTATGCGATACCATCTCTAAGTGAGGGGCTTTTGGGGAAAAAGGAATTGAAAATTTCTCTCCTGTTCTTTTAAAACGAATTTGTCTAACTTCTTGAGAATTCTCAAAAGATTTTTGTAAGTCATCATGGATCACATTTTGTTTTTAGAAAATCTTTTGTAGAAAAAAAATCTAGTAATGATCCCATTTGCTTTAAACTGGAAGATATATAGGTATTACATTTTGAGAAAATGAGCTATGATTTTGCAAGGATGCATGGATAAAGGGGTTACTTGGGGGTGTTTTAGATGATAAATTTATAAACCTGAGAATGGTCTGATGTATGAATATTTTTCATTTTAAAGGACTTTGCCAAATTATCTGCTAAAAAGGCTACTCTTACAAACTTCAGCTGACAGTGTAAGAGAGTGTCACATCCTGACCAACCCTAGATACTAACATTCTTTAAAGTCTTACTACTCTGACAGATTTTTTTTAATATACTTTATTCTGACAGACTTTTTAGATTTTATTTTAATGCACATTTCTTTTACTGTCATGTTGAACCCTACTTTAAGATAAGATTATTATTATATTGATTTTTGGACTTGTTTTATATTATAGATATTAACTATCATTTGTTAGATATTTTGCAAATACTTTGGGTCATTCTTTCCAGAGGAGATAACACTAAACTAAGTGAAGGGGGACAGTAGGAGTTAGGTGGATGAGATGGGTCTGTTAGAGTGGGAGCTGCTATGGGAAGTCTTCGGGGAGTCAAAAGTGGATCCACATGGGGAGAGCCTGCTTAGTGCAAGCAGCAAAAAGCCAAGGAGCCTCCAGATCCTCTTATCATTCATAGGTGTGATGATTACGTATTTGTGCTGTTGTGTGGCATGTTCCTCCCTCAAACCTTGTTATGAACTGAGCACATTCCCTATCTGATGTGGGGGGAGAAAGCCAGGGAGCCTCCATGTGAGCTTGATGAGGAATGCCCTCGCCTATTTTTTTGCCATTGACTCTTCTGTACCTAGAAGGGCTGGCATTGGATAGGCATATTTTTTGGATGAGTAGAGCTAATGGATGCTGCTTACTGTGGAAACTTTGCAAGCCTCTCCCCAAAGTGGTATTTTTCTGGCAACAGAAATACACTAGGCTGTTATACAGGATGGCCCTTGGAATCACCCTCAATCAGTGGTGGAGGAGTGGTGGATAATCACCTCAGCCCGCTTCTTTCAAGACAGATAACCTAGAGGCCGGGGCCACACTGGCCCGCAGAGCCCCCCGTGGAGTTACCATCCAGTTTCTCACAGTGCTAACTGGCAGCTAAGTCATTTTTTTCTAGCCTTTACTCCCTGCTGTCTCACTTCCCAACTTCCTTGGATCACCTTCCAAATAAACTGTTTGCACTTAAATCCATTTCTCAGGGCCTCCTTGTGGAGGAAACCAAACTAAGAAAAGTGATCAACAAGAGCCAGGCCAATAGGCCCATTTCAAAGTTTAGGGATTTCCTGAGGTAAAGAGTAGACCCTGAGGATAAATAAATAGTAGAGTAATATGACCAGATGTGTCTTTTTACAAGCTTATTCAGGATGCTGTCTGTACACAGAATACATTTGAGGGAGATGAGTGGAAGGAAAGCAGAGGAGCTGGAGAAAGCAGAGATAGCTGTGACAGTTCTAGGAAGACAGAATGATGGTGTGGCGGTGGAGCTAACATGGAGTAGGTTTACCAGATGTCCAGGAGGAGGAATCCTAGAAAGGATGAGTGAGAGAGAGTCAGGGGTAGGGGATACCTTTTAGGCTTCTGGGATGTACAGTTGTGAGGACAGTGTAGATACAACTGAGTTGAGCAGCCCAGAAGGAGAAGCAGGCTGAGTGGACAGTGAAGGGGGTGGGGAGGATAAATTCACATAAAGAGTGCTACTTTGAGATGTCCATGGTATGTGGAAGTACAGGTTTTTGTCAGGAGACTTAATATCACCCACATTTTTGAGACAGATGCTACATATCCGGGCATCAGTCTTCTCTCTCCCCTCACCACTCTCCACAAAAGATTGACTAACTTGCTGCCCGCCTATCATTTGTTTCAAATACTGTGTTGACCAAAAAAGCAAGGGGAAATTTTACATATAAAGAAGTTGGCTACGAATATATGGAGCCAGAAATAACTCTGAAAGCTTTCTGCAGTTCTTTAAAACTTATTTCTGTATGTAACTGGTATGTATTGTCCATTGATAATGTTTCTGGAACCATTGGGAAATGAGAGAGCTGCCCTCACCCCAGTGGATTTTCTAGCTAACAGGAGTGAGTGCACAGTAGGAATAGTGATTCAGCCAGCCCCTGGAGAAAGTGAATGTAAGGATGGAGACTAATTTTGATAAGAACTAGAGAAAATAGCCCACAAAAGCCAGTTTGAAGATTAAATGTAGGCAAATGGGTCTTTGTGATTTGGGGCTAGAAATCACCTGTCAAAATGAAACATATGTTTCCTACCCTTGGGAACTTGAAAAAAATAAGATGAATTATGAATATACACATTTAATAGAAAATTCTATTATAGATTATAAGTGCCCCGAATATTTAAAAAATGAGTTCTTCAATTGTGGATGATTTATTCCTGTGAATAACAATTGTTAAATTTTGCCATACATGCAGTGATACTCTACAAGCGTGGGACAATTGTGTATCTTTATGTCTGGTAGAATTTTTTTTCTGTCAGTTCCTTTCCAGCAGGTAGTCTGTAAGAACTCTTTCTACTTTTGGTTAGCTTCCATTGACTTTGATTTGCTGTTCCTTCAAATTGTATCTAAAACAGGATAAACAGTCTCTGAGTAGAATAAGGTTTTACAATAACTGCTTGGTTACCTGAGGCATTTATCCATGGCTATGTGTCTCTGTGTCATGCCTAAACAGAACATTTTTTGTTATGGATCCCGTTAGTAATGGAAATTGGACAAATATGCAGTAGAATCATATATGTTATTAATTAGCCACCCTTTCATAAGCTCCAAGGAATTCTAATATATCTTTGATTCCATTAGTTTGATTGCTTTCCCTTGTGTTTTTTCCTTCCTTTAGAATGGACCATTCTATGTTTGCTAATGTTTTGCCTTCCTGCACATTTCCCGTCCATGGCACCAACACCTCTGACAGCCTCCTCTTCTTCCTCCCTAGCTATCCCAAGCTCCAGTGTCCTCCCTTCTGCTCCCAGAGATGTGGTCCCTGTGTTGGTTTCCAGTCGGTTTGTCCGTCTCAGCTGGC